CCTATCAAGATTTTACAAAAAATAATATTTTAATAAATAAAACAACAGTTTTTTTTACTGATTATTATTATTAATAATATTAAAAATATATTTGAAAGGATAATAAATGAGAAACTTGAGTTAACGTAAAAAAAAATAAAGAATATTTTTTCAGGGTCTAAAATAAAAATCAATTCGTTCCGTACTTAAACATTAATATGTTACGAATTGATCTATATATTTAATTATTGTTATTTATTCGTTGAGTTAAAAAAAATCAGTTATAAATACTAATTATTCAGAGACGTCGCATACTTGGGAGGCCACTCCTATACGTGGTTTTGCATTACAGATAAAATATGTACACAGAGACGATACCGAAACACCCACTTAAAACGTTTTTTATTTACAACTCGGGTCCTAAGATAATGACGGTGGTGTACCTGAGTATGAGGCGCATTCGGGTGGGCTAGGTCGGTCTTATGACCAACGGTATATGAGATCATCAACGCGACTGTCTCCCGGAGTGTACTATATTTAAGTAGGTTCATGACTGTCTCCGAAAACGTCTTCGGATCTAATATTGCGCACAACTCATTTGCACCTATACCTTACGTTTTATCATATTTGATTGGATCAAGTGAAATCAGTGTAGTACGAGTGTTAAGCATGCCAGCAAGATGTGTTTAATAAGAAACGCGAAGAAGCCACGCGGCACGTCATCGTGGTCGTTTTTGACGTGCCATAGTACCGTCCACTATATATATAGCTTACCTATTATGTCCGCACACCGTGCACCGGTATTTATACGAGGACACAATATGTGTGTGCGTGTGAATGATATACTCACAGTTAGGTGTATATTATACGGTTAAAGAGTTGGGTAGGTAGGTAATCACGGAAAAACGTGGCACTTTTACACGAATACGGTACATCAACACCAACAATAATAATAATATCCATGTCGGTAGCAAATTTTCTTCTACGACCCGCAATTAAACGTGTATTTTGTAAGACTTGTTGAGCCGCCAAAGTTTGGTGTACATATCAACAGACGTTAAACGCCCGGCGGATGTCACACAGAGCATTGCGGCCATTGAAGAAAATCAATCACTTGCAGACTTAAAAATATGTACTTTTCAATTAAATATGATTAACTGAAAAGTTGTAAAAATCGAGTTACGTCCTTCTACGATGTTCTCATATAAATAGCTGTATTTAAAATATATATATATATATATATATATATCCTCTTACGCTTCCAAAAATACTCGACCGTTTCATTTTATTATGCTACACAGCATATCCATCTGTTGGTCGATTAGGCCATACATCTCGATACATCTCAGAATTGTTGCACGATTATATATTTTGTCGTTGTTGCTGTTGTTGTACTATTTACAAGTGGAATTATATTATATCGAATTCCGGACGGAAGAAGTTCAATATGAAAAAAGAAACGTTAGATGACGGATAAATGGCAACCTTAACGACGAGACGAAATCGCTTATAACCGATAGACTATAGTGCCTGCATGTCGTCATACGATAAACCAGTATGGAGCAATGCAAATAATATAACTGTTTAACAACGGCGGCTTTCAGTGTATGTATGAAAATATTTTATATACAGTTCTTCGTAAAAATTATTACTTATTGTAAGTATGCTATTAAAAAAAAATATATATATATATATATATATATATATTATAATATACTTATAATTATTGTATCTTCTACTTTTGCTCAATGACACTTGTTAGGTGCTATGATTTACCAAAAGGCCATCTCTAGTTGGGAGTACAGTGTACAAGACGGTGTACAGTTCGATTTGATGTTAATGTGTATGTGTACGTTATTTATGTTATGTAAGATCATTATAGACCAATGAAGAATATAAAGTCCACGGTTCCTAAGCTAAACCAGTATTGGCCATTAATCGTCGAAACGGTTAGATTAGTTTAAAAAAAACGTTATTTATAATTAATACAAATATAATATGAAACAAAAAAACATAGCAGAACTTCGCCTCTTAACTCTGTTGTACCTATACATCTTTCAGCTGTGTCGACTCATTGGTTTTTGTTACGTTTATTATATATATATATTTTTTTTATTGTCTTTTTTGTCTACACCTACATCCTTATAACTGGGTCAACGAATCCACCGTGGCGTCCGCCAAAAAAGTACCCGAGATATATTAATAATATGTATTAATTAAACGAAATGACTGTGTGAATCGAACGGAATACAAATTCCACGATGAAATACAGCTAACCGATATCCTATGTAAAATGTATATGCAATAGCCAATAAGATAATACGGAAAATGGGAGTATCTCAGGTAGAAATAAATAATTCTATAACGCATAGTTCTATTGAAAAAACTTGTTTGAGTTACTATGATTTTTTGTGTTCGGTCGGATGTAAAATATGACCTCGCCCGTTATTACTATACAAAATGTGTATAAATATTAATTATTAAAAAATGTAAAAGACCGTGTTTTGATGTTTCATTTTAAGTGTTTGGAAATATGATATTGATTGTACACGCGGTTCTTAGGTCATCGCCGTTCTCTCGGTAAAAAACGGACTAGAGAAAAATAATTGTATTTTGCATTTAAGTTAGGCGCCTATTCGAACGAATTACCAAAGAGCTAATAATTTGAAATAATGTTGTATGCAAAATATACTTGCAAAATTTGGTCGAATACAAAAGAAATAATTTTTTATTAAGAGAAAATTATTTGTTTTAAAAATGTAATTTTTTATTATCTATCTATAAAAACAAACGAAAAATTCAAAATCAAATAAAATTATCAATATAAGTTATAATTACATTATGGTTTTGATACAATTGTAACCAGAACTCTAATCGAATAAATGGTAGTTACTACATTTTTTATTGGTTCCTACTTATTTTTTACTCATATACCTAATTGATTTAATATTGTTTATTATCAACAATAAATTAATAATTTATTATTATTCGTTAATATTTTATTACATTTATGTTATTTTTTACTTTTATACCGATGGATACTTTTACAAGTCTATCATTATCAAAGCCGATGTATAATTTAGCCGAGGCGGTTATGTTGTAGGATGCGATTGGTAATTAAGTTTGCTCGTAGACTTGGAATGTTGTCAATTGAAATTGAAAACGAACGCCGTAGATTATATATTATTGTTATTTGACGTTGATAAATTTATGATAGTAAATAACAATAATTATAAACGTTTTTTTGCAATGACGAACATAATATAGTTTTGTCGTATATATACCGATCGGACCAAAACTGGAAACGCGAATTCCAGTATACAAAAAAAAAAATAGGTTAAGTGCAGATTTGTCGGTGGACATTTGTCGGGTAAACGTATTTTCGAATACATAAAATTAGAGAAAACGATGTCGCGTTTGTCGACGATGGTCATCATATTTGGCACCGGACGAGAAATGGTATTGTATGTAGGCCAACGCAGTGTAAGAGGAAGTCGGTCTTTCGGTCTGTTTCGTCATAACTAACACCTAATGCGACAATGACCGCTTAAAGTTTTGCTTTTCAAACTTTCGCTATTCCGATTTTTTTTTTTACAATAATTATACATACTCAATATATAAGGCGAACCGACTGTGTATAAAGAAACGGCATATTGAGTAGGTACCCGTGCCGGGACTTCATGTGATAATATAAAATATAATAATAATACAACAAGTCAAACATGTCGGCATCGACGAGTTGGTAACATCTTATTTTTTCTTCTAGGTACTAACGGTTTAAACTTGTTGATTTTTATTAATATTATATAAACGTTAAAAAAAATTATCCACGTAATACGATACATCATGATTAATATTCTAGTTAACTTACAATTGTTATTAAAAAAGTTATTATGTTATTATGTATTCGTTTTTAAAACCAATATTTGTATAGAATTGAATTAATGTTAAAAATTGCAATGATGTTGAAGTGTTTCTGTACAACTCTGATTTGTAAAGATAATTGGGTTTTCAATACAAATTTTATAAACGATATTCATTTTTTTTTTTTAATTAAAATATTAGAACATTTACAATATGTCACTGTACGATCGAATCTCATGACATTCAATTATTGATGATATTAACTATTGTCCAAAGAATAGTCATTATATATTATATAACATTATTATTGTTTTTAGTAGATATAAAAACACTTTTATTTTTTTTAATTTAGACGAGTTTTTTTTTCATTTAGTCATTAGTTTTGGGTTAATAAACTCCATTTTTACGCATTAGTGTATGTTAAGCTATAGTATTAAATTATGTATCCTCGACAAGTAGTCGAAACCGGTAACAACATGAAAATGTTTGTGTATTTTATAAATTATACGTACTTAATGCTACATTTTTAATTAGGATAAACTTCAATAATTTAAAAATGTACCCGTTTCCTTACACATTACTTTTATTTTAATTATTTTTTGTATAAATATTCTACTACTTTATACTACCTAAATAATGCTTCAAACGATAATTATTATTTATTTGCTAATAAGTTGCTACTTTTTAAATGATATAAAAACGACCAATTTTTAAAAAATTCTATTAAATTCCATTATTTTACCTACTTGTCGGCCAGGTTTGAACGCTCCAATCTACTCGAAGTTAATAGCACGAAGCGTTTAAAGCGTTTTTCTATTATTATATTGAGTATATTTTTTTTAACTGCATTTGACCAATAAAATCAACATGAACAGTAAATTCAGTTATTTTGTCTAATGGCCTTTTGCGCGCTCAACTGTACCCCGATGTTGGCTAAAAATCTTAACAAAATCATATTTTCAGATTAAACGTTTTTGGCCTAGTACCTACGCGTTGGTGGACACACCAGCAACGCCAATACACAGATAACACTACCTATTAAAAAATATAGGGCCGGTGTCGACGCATTCGTGTAATGTTATATATCATTACGATTTATATATTTTGTACACAGCTGGTGGAAAATAACGAGCGGTTGTGTATAATAGTATTCTTACCAGTCACCGTGTTCCAATTTGTCGCAATTCGATCTACGAAGGACCGTACGCGGACCACGGGCCTGTGGTGGCGATTCTCGTCGAATTCCACCGGGTCGGCTTCACGTTATTTTGTACATTGTCCGATGAAGTTGAAATAATAGTTTAATAGAAAATATATATATTTATATATAATATAATTTAAAAAATATATAATAGGTAAATTTGCAAAAAAAAATTAGTTTTTTTTTTTTTTTGTTATTCGACACACTGATTTGACCGACGGTCGGTACGAAGGGTAGGCGAAAATTAAGGTTGTTTTTTTTTTTTTTTTAATTAAATCTTTACGGGGTAAAAAATTGGAAAACTAATTGCAGGACGAACGACCGGCGACGGCGGTGCGATGACCGACGACGAGGAGACCGAACGAAAGACGTGCACCGTGTGTGTGTGTGTGCCTTGAACTCTCCGCCGAAATGGGAAACCTTGAACTGAACCGAGTAACCGGTCTGTCGATTGTCCTACTGACTCAGTCATCGAAATCCAAACGGAATTTACGGTGTGACTGCCGTCGTATCCGCCGATGTGGCCGAGAGGGGGCACACGCGGTCGGTAGGGAGGCCGAAGAATTCTCTGCACGCCGTCGGTCCTACAGGTATATAGTATAATATACATGTATAATATTATACACTCGTGGACTAGGTACTGTAATATAGGTACGGGCTACAGATGTACACTGTAAATAATACTATAAATTGCTCTGCGCTATCACTCCAGATAGGTACAGCCAATAATGGCACACTGTGAAATTATTGTGGTCCATCTCTTTCTCTCTTCGCCCCCGGCACGGCAGAGCGTAGTTCCCTGCCCCGGCGCTGGCAGCTTTGCGGTTCTCGTCGACACCGAATACCCCGCAAAAGTATTAACCAAAAAACGATGCGCTTTTCTTTTTTACACATTTTTAATTTAGCAACAGTCTTCTGTTGTGTGTGTGTTTGTTGAAAAGATAAATGTTGTACACGTTAATGTCATTTCATTAAAATTAGTTCTTAAAAAACGTCATTGAAACATTTTCATATAAGTAGTTGGCAATGTTTTCATTTCATTTCAAATAAAATTTGTAAACACATTTTTTACGTTTAACATTGAATTTCTGGCCGAAAAATAATTTTAAATGTTAAAAATAGGGTTGATTACATTTTGAATATTTTCTCAAAATCATTTAAAAGATTAAACAATAATAAGGAACAAAGGGACAAAGAAACAGTGAAACAAAGTAATAATTTAGTAGACCATTTGAAAAATGATAATAATTTTAAAAAAACAAACATAAAATATTTTATACATTACCAAGTGACAACACTCATTGTTTTTTAATAAAAATCATCAAATATCGTATAACAAATATCACTGTCTGTAAAGTCTAACGTCTCAAATTTTCTTTTTATCAGCCTGGAAATTCTATTGAATCCTACAATTTTATCAATAGTAATAATTATACTCAGGTAACTGCAGTAACTCTTAACCCCAGTTAAGAATGTGGAAAAGAAAGAAGTACTAGCTAGTCCTAGTCTTAGATGGTCCACCATAATTTAGAACCTATTTATTAAGCCACTAATTTTAATTGTTTCTAACATAAACTAAAACGAGTAAGTAATAATTGATCAAAAATGAATTCATATTTAATTCGATGTTTGAAAAGTGCCTATCAAATAACCAAACTCCAAAGATAAATATAGCAAGGAAGCAGCAAAATAGCTAGTTAGCTTATATTTAAATATTAAATATATAATTGTTTTATAATATGTTTGGTATAGAGGACACCAAAAGTATATAATTAAAATAATTTTTCGTTACGAGACTGAACTAAAATAAAATGTGCTAGGGTATTTTTACAATTAATTTTTTGAATATATTTTCTATATTTAATAAACCTTCTTCTCATTGTGAACAGTAAAGTGATATTATGAAATATATTTTTTCCATTGAAAAATGTTGCCCTAGTTTAAAATAAAAGTTTTAAATAAATGTAAAACTCGGCGTTCGGCTGTGATTATGTACTGCCAATGAGATTTTTTTATAGGAATGTTTACAACGGGTACGTTTCGACGCGTTCCCGTTAGTTCGGAATTACCCTGTACATACATGGTGCGAGCACTTGACATGATAATAATTAATAATATTGTATATTTTTCCATACTACACACCCATCTTGTACGGGATACCGGTAACGGGAACTATATAATAATATACCAGTTTGGGAGGGCACGCTCACGTGTGACACTTTGACACGTTGACCATTCCGCCGGTGGTTGAAGAATGCGCTTGACTTAAAAGCTGGATTGTTTGTCCATAGGAAAATAGATTATGTTAAATTACTTGTGGCGCTATCTATCGGGCCTGACCTAGTCTTAGGATTTGTCATCGACTTTGCAATTTGTTTTAAATAAAAACCTAGAAAATTCGAGAGATTAAAATTGCATATAAGTTGTTCTTTTTCACACTGGCTTAAGCGAGGCGGTAAAAATGTTATCACGCGACATATCGAGCCTTCATCTTAGTGACAATAGTAGGACAAGTCGGATTATTGTAGCTGTTGTTATTGTTAATCCATAGGTATCTGTGTAATGACGGAGCTTTTTTTTGTCGTCGGACAAAGACATATTCTCGATTTTAATGACTAAGCCCGAATCTATACGGAAGCATCCTCTGTCTTGGCGAAATTATTTCTAACGCGTATTCAATTGCTTTTGCAGTGTTCTTATGTTAAACTGTACACACGAGTGCATACAGAGTGATTCCATTAAGAATAAGACAATCATTTTCTTTTAAAATAATCGCAAATTTGTAGTTTTTTTCTTTTTGGATAAACTATTGTGTTATGTTATTTTACAATATTGGGCTAAATTAAAATCTGTATCTTTGTTTTTTTTTTCCAGGGCTCTATCAATTTTTAAAACTTAAATGGCATATGGTCGTTAAGAAGTTTTGCATATTTAATTTTATGGTATTCAAATTTAAAATGTAGGATGGTAGGGAGGGTGAAACGTTGTATTATTTTTATATGCCCGCATGACTCTACTGAACTTCACCTGTCGTCCAAAATTTTAAACATTAGTAACTCCAAAAATTACCTAAAACCGGTTATCGACCAGGCAACATTTTTAGTAAATTTTAAGTTTCAAGAATAAGCTGAAGAGCTGCGGAAAATATTTAGTAGTTTTATTATATTGTAAAATAAAATAAAGGAAAAAGTTTTCAAAAACTACAGAATTGCTATTAATTTATTAAAAAATGAATGTCTTTTCTTGAACCACCCTGTACATGTTTACCAAAACAGATGGACTGTGTTCATTGTTTTATCTTCTTATTATTTTCTTCAAACTCTGACAAGCCGTTGAACTTTCATTATATTCTAAGTATGAATCTTTATACTATAATTTTTGTTTACAGAAGCGAAAGTACCTCGTGAAGAAAAACACTGCAGGCGAGGAATGACTGGACTTTTTTTTTAACAGTAAAAACAAAATATTAGTTTAAAAAATATTTTAAATTGCAAAAACTATTAAAAATGTTTTGAATTACTTACCATTAATTACTATACTTATAATATACAAATGTTTATACTTGAAATTATAATTTAATTGTTACTTGTAAATCTAAATCTTGTTTAAACTGCACAACATTTGTTCCATTGCACATCAAATTTGATAAGTCGATGCAGTCCCGTATTTTTCTTTTATTTACTTACGTTTATTTTTAATTTATTTAAAATAAGTTTGATTTTAGAGACCTATTTTTATTTTACAGCAGCTACCTCCTAAGCATGACCAACATTTTTCTTTTGTTAATAATAACCAAGCGATATTTTACTATATTTTCTCTATAATTTCATAGCCCTTTGAAAACAGTCCAAGATTGATAATTATATTCTATTAATTTTTCACTACTGAATAAATTTTCTCACAGGATATTAATCAAACGTGACCAATTTCGATTTACTCTTGTGCGTCTGCTTTAATAAATTATTTTCCCCGCTCCCAAGCACATGCCAGTAATGATAGTACGCGCATTTAAGGACGGTAACATCAAGTATGATTGCGACTTCGGTATTATAAGTTTAGACAAATAAGTAATATCACTTGACCGAAAAGGAAAACCGTGTATGAATCAACTTAAAACTAAAATGATGTATATTTTTTATTAGGAGATATACGACGGTCGTTGAGAAATTTCGGTCAAATCAATGGAAGCTACAACAAGCTATAAGAACCAACATCCAAAAAAATTATTATTATGTATCGTATTAACCAGATCAGAACGAATGCGAAGGTCAAAAACAAAACGGGAAGTCACGACTGTACACATCTGCAAAGTACACTTGACCCCAAAATACTTACAAGAGGTAACGCGAAGAATATTAAACCGGACTTTCGAAAATTCAGAGTAGTTATATGATTTTAACTGATGGGTAAATATTTTAAATATTTCTCAACCGAATTGGTTTTTAAGATGAAAACTCGCTAACGTATAAATAAAATGTGTAACATTTTGATTAAATGTAATAATTATACAAATAATGTATTACATTATTTTTCAAGGCAATTCATTAAACGACTTAGATGAGATAACAATAATACACGTGTGTTTGTTTTGGAAACTTCAGAACTCGGTAGCACTTTTGTCTGACACCTGCTTTAGCTTTCAAGTCAGGACAGTTGCTTTGAAAACTTAGGGCCAATCAATAAATGCTTTTAAAGGATCCAACCCGGATGGATGTTTCAAAGGCGTCAACCCGAAAGGATTGTGTGCTCACTGCTCGTAAGTGCTTTACGTCTGATTAAAACTACATGATAAATTCTTGTTGGAACATTATAATTAACAACGTTTTTTTTTTACTGTTCGTTTTAGTTTGAAAATAGTACCTACACAAGGAATTATGGCATTTTCGCGAAATGCGTTTTCTATTTGCTAACCGTGCAGTGTCCGGTACATGGCGACAGAAGCTAACATTGACAAAAGGAAACAAAATACAAACAAAACTACCACTTTCTCGCGTTTCGGCGTCCTGGAGAGAACATAATGTTATATTGCACATACCTACTTGCTTAATGGGCTTACCACGACTACACAAAACCGATATCACGCCTCATCTTCAAACGGGTATGTCGTTTATGTTCGAAGACCGCCACTTTTATAAGGATATTTTATATTTTAGTATCCGAGTTTCTAGAAGTCCATTATGAACGCTTACAATGTAATATGTTACACTTTTATCACGGTTTATAGTTATTGTGCGGGCAAAAAATTTGAAAACTTAATTTCCAAGTTACTCCGATGATATATAGTTGGATAGTTCTAAACATGATATGTACTCACTAATTGTAATTTACACTGTAAGTAGCACACTGCATAGCAAATGGCAAATTATTTGTTTATTATTGTTGTTCGAGTTAAACAGCTATAACAAGTTTTGTATTATATAAAATAATAAAATATTTTTAAACAA